ATATCATGAAAGCGACGGGCATATGTCCAGTGAGTAACGCCTTGTGAGGCGGAACCATAAGGGGAATATTGCAAGATACCAAGGAATCATTGAATGAGTGTTATCAGAACTGAACTGAGGCTCTGATCCAAAGAGAGTTGCATGAGGCAAGTAAAAGCGGTGAATCATGGTGTTTCTTGCCCCTGGAAAATGGATTATGTTGTTTCAATTGGATGACATGGTAATACGTGAATATCTTCAGAGCTAAAAATGATTATAAATAAACTCGATAAAGACAACATGGCCTAATATTCGTTTAAAATAAATTCTGCGAAACAACTTTTTTAAATTAAACACTTTTGAGACGAGGGTAGGGTGAAGACTTTTTCGCATTCAGAACGGAACCTTTCTTACTGAGGAACTATGCAAGCTTTGATCTGCATTGATCGTATTGTTTTTTCCTCGCTTTTACCGTCTTTTATTTCGTCCAGAGACTGTTTGATAACCGCGTTTTCTTCCATAGTAACTTTGCAGCTCAGCTGCAGGCGCTGTACGGTTGCTTCCAACTCCGCCTTCTCCATCACTCGTCTTTCAACTTCCTGTCGAAGTGCTGATGTCTCTGCCTTCGTTTTAAGCAGTTCATTGTAATACGAGTTTTTTTCCCTGAAATGCGTAAAAACTATGACAGTTGCAATTGCATTATATCAAACGACTCTCATCAACCTCATCAAGCAGCTCTTGCGTTCAGTGAGTTAGTGAGCAAAGGTGAGAACCAACATTAATTATGAAAATCTGCATTTAGGTTTTTTTCGGACATGGTTCTTTGTGAATTAATTTAATTTAAATGTCGCTTCCTGTTGAAAGGTTTTTTGGGATTACTGTAATCATGAAATTTCACAATGTGCAGGGAACAGCTGCGTTCTTTACACTCATGTCTTTCCCACCTGCTTTTAAATGGAGATCGCGATTGATGCTGATGATTAAATATTAGCCTCCAATTCCAGAGCCACGATAAGGTAGTGAGGGATGCACCTGCAATGTTAAATAGCTTATGAGCTACATTAAATGTCTGACATAGGCTCGCCTTGGTACTTATTCAACAAAAACGTTCTTTTGGTGGATGGAGGGCCGGACATATTGAAACATTTTGTGACGCTAAAATAGTCATGAAGAAATTACAGGTCCTACCCTTGCTGTCAGCGAAGATACTATTCTGATGAGGACACTTTAGTGAAGGATATCTGAGTAACAGAAATTTTGAAAGCAAAAATATTATACCGGCAGGTTCCATTACAACG